ATACATATATATATATATATATATATATATATATATATATATATATATATATATATAATATAATATATTTACAATTTAGAGATATTCTATATATTAATATTTGCATAAACTCATATAATACAGAAAGAATGTCTTCGTATTTTCAGAGCCAATACGCTTATATATATAATTGTATAAAGCAAGTACTCAAAAATCCTTACTTCTTAAAAACTTGTAAGTATCTCTTACAATATACTATGTTTAGTGTATACTTTTCCAAAATTCATTATCTTGCATTCTCGTAGACAAACCACCACCAGTTGAGCCAGTATATGAGAACACCTCTAAGAAAGCCAAAGATACAACAAATTCAGACACAAATCTAGTCAACAATATTGAAATATGTATGTAATATATATTTAACACCTGTACATATATACTCTATTCTCTATAGCAGACTAGACGTTCTTTACTCTTTATTATTAATAGTATTAAAGAAGAAAGCACGATAGAAATAATACTAATATATTTTGTACTACAGAATGAGAGTCTCTCCAACTATCTAATACGTGATGAGGTAGGAACAAATGCTTGGATCGCGTTGTCTTCTTTTCGCTTTGCTTTCCTCTCTCGCTTCATTTAATCCATTCATATATCTATTTATCAGTTATTTAATTCTTCTCTGAGCGCTAAACATATAACATGTTCATTGCTTTTCTGTGTGTATGGTTTGAGAGTAATTTTGCAGCTGACATACGTTTACTATGATCATTTACAAACTGGGCATAATGCAATATCGTACGAATAAATTTTATTATAAGCCAGTGATTATTTTTTTGCATATACGTTAAAAAGTAAAATTATATTACTGTAATGTTTTTTTCTGAAAAAGCTATAATCACCGAACTGCTTTTCTGAGTCAGTATTATATTGCATAATTGTTTATGTTGTTATTTAGCATTCTAGCAATGAATTTTTTCTAATGTACCGCACGATTCATATTGTTCCAGTAAAAAAACATAATTCCGTATCTATGGAGTCTCTGGGATCAATCTCCTTCAATCTTTTTCCTCAGTCAACTTCAACAAGCATAACAAATAGCGGTAAGACTGAAAGAAAATTTTGCGAGTCTAAACTGTTAACATATTATATTGAAAATTAAATGACGAGAAAAGGGAACACAACTTTGTTCAATATTATATATCTAATTTAAATATCATTTATATAATGGCGACAGACTTTATTTAACATAATTTTACTTTAAGATTTGAGGCAGTGCAAATCGACGGGTGCCATAAATGCAAAAACTCATCACATTACTGTAGGTCAGTAACAAGATATCAGATATATTATTATTATATTACTTTTATCGTTAGGACAATGTTGGCAAATGCTATTTTTCAGGAAAATCCCGAACTCTGGATTGTATCTTTAAACCACTGAGAGACTCGTCATACAAGCTAAATAGGGAAAATTTAATGCAAGAGAGTCTGCCATTATTAACTTGTTCAAGGTCAGCTGATATACTTGGCGATAGCGTGTAAAATGTAATAAATGGTAAGTCTGACACCTTTGTTCAAAAATTTACATTTAAAAAATTTTTCATGTTATTTGTTTAACAACAGTGATTTGATAAGTCGACATATTTTGCAGATAAGTGAGAGACGACTGAACTATGTATAATTATTTATGTTAAGTTGATCATCGAATGTATAGATATTAGACCAAAATATAAACTGTAATTACGTGTAAATATAACTTTATGGAGGATTGATGTATATACTTCACGTACTATTTTTTATAAATAATCACAAACGTATATGCCACCAAACGTCAGAATATATTATGTGATACTAAATATGCTTATCAGCATTATTATCTAACACATGCCTTAAACGATCTCTAGTCCAACTAGAAAACATTTTAAATGCCAGAGATGGATATTGTAGCCAGAAAGTATGTTTATAAATATAAACCGATAGTAAATAAGAAATTTTATAAAATTCTTCAAAATATATGTATTATTGACAAGAACTTTATGTACACTTATTCATATTTATGCGCCTCGTACATCTTTATATTCATTTTACTTTATTATTTATTTTTAATTTTATTATTTATGTGCAATATAAATTATACAACAGAGCTTACAATGCATTGTCCACTCAAAATCAGATACATCTGATTTTTTCCATGTAACAGCTCGCCTTGAAATAAATATAGCATTAATATCGATATTTAGTAGAGTAATCTTTAGGAGAAACAACTAAACCTCGACCTTTTCTTGCACCTCTATAAACCGTCTCAATGATGTCGATCATTTCCTGTTTGTCTTCCAATGTCCAATTAATTTTGTTATTGTTTCCCGTACCCAAATCTATCATGATGTGCTTGTTTCTAAAGAAGAACATTACTGTACATGGGTCGTACAGCTCATACCTATAAAAGTATTCATCATTGTTGTTAAATATATATTATTGAAATATTATATTATAACGATATATCTCAACAATAAATATTAATTAATTAAAATAATTAAGTTGTAAGTAAATTTATCTATCTTTAAAAATTAATTATTAATGCAACATATAAACTCACAAGAATATAAGTTTTTACTTACATTTTATTGAAATCTGGCACTTTTGTGATATCCACCAAGTAAATAACGGCAAAATTCTTGACTTTTTCTGCGATATTATAGAGAACTTCGTCCATCTTCATACACATCGGATCCCAATCGTGCCCAAAGCGAATCACCTGGAAAAAGATCGACATTATTTTCAGTGAATTCTAACTCAAAATAATTCTGTCGCAATCGATTTAACATTCATCTATGACGATAGAGAATAAAAGTGAAACTGAAACACATTGTGAATGAAATATTCGACAAACTCACCACGACTCTGTCTTCCTCAGATAGAATGGCTTGATCGACTTGATAGCCGTTTTCCAAATGCGATAGCATGTAAGACATTTTGAGGCGTGCGAAATACGACACTTGCGATTACAAAATAATGCAATTCCGTTTGTTAATTAAAGTTATTAAAGCGATGTTGTTTGAGGTTGGGAAACGTACCGTCCCGACGGAACACGACGCGATGACTGTAGTGTAGGTCTGTTACACTTTCAGCACTTTCAAAAGTATCGAATATTTAGGGCTGCATTCCGATATTCACTGTCAGCAACTTTCAGTACTGAAAATCTACAGTATACGTGACGTAAAATATAGATTTGCAGTACTGACAGTGAATATCGGAATGCAGCCTTTGTCTTCGCTCTTTCTCTTTTCAAATTGTAAGAAGTTTGTTCTTCGTAGCTGATCTCTTTTCATCTGTTTTCTCTTTCTCTCCGACAGCTCGACAGCTGATAATTATATACTTATTTTAAGTGTAAAAAGTATAATTTAGCGCTTTTCATTAAAATAATCAATGCAAACGGCATACAGAAAAATTAATTATTTCATGATACATGTACATACCATGCATCCATTATAAAAAAAAAAGACTGCTTTGTCATCTGTGATGAGACGTATAATTTATTATCAAAAATATTATACTTTATATCTTCGAGCAAGTAAATTAACCATTATTTCTTTTTACATTTGTATGGGAAAGCAGCAGGATAAACGATAGTTATTTGGAATTAAGAATATCTACATATGCGCTTGCGACTAAATCGTCTTCTTTTATGAACAGTTTCTGCATGAGGTTTTCAGCGATGTCCCGTGCCTCTTCTACGTCCTGATCTTCTTTCAGCACTACCTGCATTAATAAATCATTGCAAGTGGATTATATCTTTACTAATACAGAATACAGCTACATAACATACAATGTAACAAGTAGATTTACAAACCTCCAACTCTATAAAAGAACCCAAAAGGTGGACGTTGTCAATGTGGATTCGAGTTTGCCCCACAGTATACAAGAGTCTTGTCTTTTTAACAATTCCTAGCACACCCATGGCTTGGGACAAAATATTTGTGATCGATTCTACGATATCTGCATTTAGCTCTACTTTGTCGTAAGTAGATAATTTTGGTCCAAAAACATCGGGTCGCTTATACAAAATTAACTCTGCCGCACCATCCTATGGGACGAGAAAAAAAAAGTTTTGTATTAAGATAATAATACAATGTAACGTTAAAACAGGAATCAAAATTTATACTTGTATGCTTTCTCTCTCTAATCTTTAAAAGTATCATAAATTTTCGATTGTTTCTTAAAGAGTAATACGTTCTGAGCGAAGTATATATTTTAATCTGCTGAAAATAGAGATGTGTTAATTGAAAAACTATAATAATTACTCCAACCTTAAACTTTCGCAACTTTAATCTTCCATCCTTTGTCTTGAAAAATGTATCATGCTGCTCGATTTTAACCTCAGGGGTTTCGCTCAGCTCTCTGGCTTTTGCAATGGTACGCGCAAAATCCTGAATCACAGCTTTAACATCAATGTTCCTCATCCTCCTGGTTTCCTAAAATTGACAGAAATTTACTTAATACGTTTTATATTTCAGTAGATTTGCACAAAATCACGTGATATCTTGTCTGTTCGTTACATATTCAGTTTATAATTCTATAAATCTGATAAAAATAATCTGATAAAAATAATCTGATAAAAATAAGATATTCAAGCTGAAAAGTACTTTTATTTTGCATATTTATATAATGTCATAAATCTTCTATTACAAGTTTCTTTTCTATACTGATTTACAATTATGAGATACAACTTGTTTACCTTTTATTAATTTCAATATTTCAAACGTCTAACGTACCGGACCGCTAATCTATATTGGTGTACAACACTCAACACTGGATGACGTGTCGGCGTCCCCAGCGACATCGGCACGGCATATGCGGTGGCCTGAGAGAGGCCATCCCGGCATTTTTCGTCAATTTTTCTGTGTCGTTTTCCGACGCGCCGCCTGAGAAAGTGCGCATCAACTACGTCGTTTCGCTCGGTAACCGCACATGGTTTGCGCACGGACGCGTTCAGCAGATACAACTGTTGAGTTCGTCTTATCAACACTCCGCGTTGATTGGTTGGTTCTAAAAGAAAGAGCCAATCACGTTCGACTGGTACTGAGTGGCTTGGTCTGCTGAACACGACCAAATGATTCTTTATTACGATTGGTTTCTACAATTAGATCCGGAGTAGAACCCAAAGGCAAGAACCAATCATATTTTAAATAATCACTGAGCTGCTATTTCCGCTGCACGCAGCCATTGGTTCAGACATGTGCGTATTAGCGCATTTTTCTTTCTTTCCATCGCGGTGGGCATCGCGTTTGGTTTGGAGTAGAGTTCGGACCGTTCGGACTTTGGAGCAACGGAAACGGAAAGGAGGAAGTGAAACACTGTACTGACTGTACGTGTACGGGTACAGTAGCGACTTAGCGACGACGTGGTCGACCTCGACGTATGTACGGGCGACGAATGTCGAGGTTTCTCAGTTTGCGGAGGAGATGCGCGTCCCAGGACTCCCAGGGGACCGCGGGGCAATGAGTAACGACGAGTCGGCCGGAAAGCGGGTCATGAATAGCGCAAAATGAGAAGAACGTTTAACGCCGCGGCGGAGGTCCGTGCAGCGGACTGCCTCGAAGTCACGAGACGTCTGCACAAGTAAGTCCCTCATCCCCCTGCTTCCCCGCGTGGGAAACGATAAGCGATACTCTCCTCCAAAAGTACGTACTCCATCGTGGCGAAAAGAATAAATCTTCGTAACGATTTTGAAGAGATGCAAGGCAAAGTGATTTTTCGAGAGACGGTGAACCTAACCCCCACCCAGACCCACCGTCCCAATCGCCATGCTTGTTTTTTTACTCGCCGTTTCTCGATGACTTTTGCTTTCGTCATTTGCAATATATCTTCCGATTCTTTAGTCGGTAGGAACGTCTGTATTTATTATGTAGACGCGATTGTGTTTTTAACATGATACGAGAGATAAACTGGCAAATGAGAGATTATATTGTATTTACAGTCGAGGGTGTATCTTTGACAATGACCTTCACCTGGCGCAAATGTGCTGGTTCACTCTTTAAACGTACATTTTATTTGTCTGTTAAGAAGCGTGACGGAGATCGTGAAGAAATTGGACGAGCAAAAGAATCGTGCCCTGACAGTAAGCGATATATTTGTTCCATCTGGGAAGATTCAGCGCATGAAACTTAAGGATTATTGCGAGAGACTGATTTTGAAAGACCCCGTTGGAAACGCGCATAAAATTGAGGAGCTACTGTGGAGAAAGGCTTTCTACGATGTTGTGTACACAGCCAAAAAATTACGGAAGGTAACACTTACAGTAATATATTGAAAAATGGAGCTAACAATAACGATAAAATATATGAGGATATAATGAATTTTATATATTATTTTATATACAAAAATTCTTTTATATATATACAAATATATGAATATATGCAGAATTTTTTATGTATTATATTTCAGGGTAATACCTGGAATGATATGGAAAAAACACTGCTTTCGGTCCATTTGGCTGGAGGTGTGGGATATTATCATCATCTGATAATGAGGCTGCAAATGGAATATGATTTAGACCTTGTTGGTGTTGTCGATTTTGCTTTCATTTACAATGAAAGTATTTCATCATGCGTAAGAAAATTTTTTAGTGTTCAACTTAGATGGTGCAGGCTAGAAAATAAAAATCTTATGTTAATAAAGATATATCAATTGATTTTTCATTAATTATGACAATTACATTCTTGTATAAGAGACATCGCGATTCGTAATATGTAGTAATATGATTGTAAATTTATGATAGGCAAGAACTAAAACAGGCCAACCTAAAAATCACACAAAGGAGCTCAAACAATGTGTCATGCGATTGATCCATCGAAGTTTGGTATGCCTTGGAGATTTGAGTAGGTACAAATTAGAATTAAATTCGAACTGGGATCCAATGATAGCAAACAGGTATTATCAGATGGCTATAGCAATTGATCCAAACCTTGGTATGCCTCACAATCAGCTTGGTACTATAGCAGGCAATAAAAATTATGGATTAGATGCAGTCTATCATTACATGAGAAGGTTAGTGTTAATAAATAATCTGTTATTTAATGACGAGTGGATACACTCGAATAATATTTATTTTCTTTTTATTAGTATGCAAGTATTTTTCAACCTACATTATAATTCTGATTATTTTTCAGCGTTTTGTGTTCTGAGCCATTTGAGGGGGCAGAAGGAAATTTAAAGAAAATTATAATAACTCAGTCCAGCTATACAGATGAAGGCAATTCTGTCCAGCATTGCGTCTCGCGATTATTTTCTTTATTACGTTTATGGGATTATGAAAATCCATATTCTGACAAGATAAATCAAGAATGTCAGGTATGTGATGAAACTTGTAAAATATTTATTGATAATTTTATGGAAACATTTTTCACAGTTTGCAATGATTTTTTTCAACAGGCTCTATTAACCGATTTAGAGAATTGTTTGACAATGGATCAAATCGAGGCAAATAACGCAAATTGTCTAGAAAGCGTGGATAACATAGAAACATATCTTCAAAATTGTAAAAACAGACCAACGCTTTGTTTAACAGACGACATGGTGTTTAAGATTGTGACAATATGCTTAATGTCAATTTCTAGATTAAAGAACAAAGAATCCAACGAAGTACAGGGCGTTGTTGCCATAACTTTAGCGATACTATCGCAATTGCTAGAATTTATAATAACAAAACTCCAAGAAATGATCATAGAAACGGCAGTGCCTGATGTAGAAGCAACTGTGAAAGGAGATACTTATTCTACCAAGTTGAAAAATGCACAGGAAAATCAGGCGTCAACTGAATTGGGAAACAATGGGGATCACATAGAAGAAAAAGACTCTACACGGAGCAAAGACAATAATGTACTCAATTTAGATGAGAATAATAAAGCCAAGTCGTCAGACAATGGAATCACGAACGAATCAGGTCCCAAAAAGACTCGCGACAAATCGAAAAGTCTTCTCAACAAGCTTCGTAGACGAAAAAGGAGAACTAGCTCCGATTCAGATGCGAGCGACATAGACCAATCAACTCTGGCATCGTCCAGTGACGAAGTCAATTCTGATGTGTCTGAGACGGAGGGAGACGACGCATTGTCAGATGAGAATACGGACGACGAAGAATCGTCTCCAGAAAATAAGATTCAGACTATCGAAAACGTAGCGCAGATAGCGAAAGAAGAGATGAACGGCCATGGCAGCGATATCACTGAGAAAACGGAGACGTGCGATAAGGACGGTACTGACCATTTGGTCAACGGCCAACAGCACGCGACTGATCAGCAGACAGACTCGAAAGCGATGAGTGATAAGGATTCCATAACAAATTCCAGCAGTGCCGTGACCATCACGAACACGGACTCGACTAGTACCTTCGAGGAAGGGAACGCGAATACCATTTTTTATGTGACACAATTGAAGAAGAACTTAAAGTCAGATGACATTCTGAACATATTGGTTGGCAAGGAGATCCTCGTGTCTATAAAAGTGTGCTGCGACTGGCTCCAAAGTAATCCTGACATCGTGAGGATATGCGCCAAGAGTTCACGGACATTGTTGAAGCGTTTTACGATCCTGTTAAATCTAATCGACGTGGACATCGAGACTCTTGTGCAGGGAAGCGAGGATTCCACGATTCTATCCAGCGTTGAGAGATTGAAGGAGTGTGTGAAAAAGATACCTCTACCTGAGGACATTGATCTTCGAGGATTGAATTTGCTGGAGAACGCTTACAAAACTCTCGATTGGGAAATACTTCGTAAACACAGAATGAACAAGCGGGAAGAAACGCTACTGAGAGTGTTGAAGCTAATCGAATTTGGGCATCATCTTTGTTCTGTCGAGAATTCAAGGGTGCAGTACGATCAGACCGAGCGCGTGTTCATGGTAACGGACGCGAGCTCCTCGAACGCTCCAAAGGTGGTGATAGGTCTGGACGAGAAGAACTTTGGACCGGAACATTCGAAAGGGAAGCTCATGAGACACATGGGCAAATTGTGGCTGAGCGCCGAAGTTCGAGCTCTAGAGAGTCAATTAAGATCTCGATGGATTTCGCCATACCTTGTTCCCGATCATGAAGCTTTAACCAAGCATACGTCAGCTCTAAAACGCTTGGTATACGCAAAGAAATTTGTAGTGGTTATTCCCGCGGCTGGTAAGTAAATCTGTTGTCGGAAACTATCATCCTATATAAGATGAATGTTAAATATCGGATACGGTATTGAAAAATTTTCATCTCACGATGTATCCAAAGATGAATGCAAGAGTTGTTTTATTTTCTGTGTTATTTATATAAGACTGCACTTACATTTACAGTTGTCTCTGCTCTGGATGAAATGAAACGTGTAAGCCCTCAGGCGAGAGAAGCGACGCGATGGCTGGAGAACCAATTGAGGCGTGGCACAAGATGTTTACGGGCGCAAAGACCTCACGAGCGTTTGGCGCTGCCGTTAATAAAAGGACCAAGACCAAAGGACAAGGAAGCGTGGTTATTTTTCCAGATAATAGAGTGTTGTCACTTCCTTACTCAACAAGCAAAAGTCGGTCTTACTGGTGACGGGGAGGTACCAGTTGTAACCCTTCTGACTGGTTCCAGACCGGATGATAGGAAAGCTATGACTTTCAGTCCCGATGGATTAGCAAAAAGTGCAGGTAGCTATCGCTTCCGTTTCTTTTTTTTTTCTTTCTTATTCTTAGAACGCTGGCACGAAACGATTAGCTGATTAATCTCGTTTTATATATATATATATATATAGAGGATGTGTTGTATGTACATACGTACATAATAGTAACTAAATTATATAGATCTATGAAAAACATTTTTTTACATTTTTAATCGGTGTCTTGAGTTTAATTCTTTGAACGATATTATTCGATTAATTGTGTAATATCACTCAAAGTTACAATTTTGAATTAAAACATACAAATCTGAGGTTTACTCTTACAGCAAAATGTAATGTTTGCTCGATATTAACTTCACAGGTGTTAATCTCGAGCACATAGAAGCGTTTCAAATAAAGTGGAAGTCGTCAATCAAGAGTTACGGTTGAGCGAAATATATCACTCCTGCGGGATTACCTGTCGCTAATCTCATTCAGAGATACTTATCCATTGCTCGGGTATACAACCGGATTTTAAGCCGATCAACAGACAAGCACGGCAAGAGGGTTGGAAACCCGCGGATATATGAAACGGAAAATCGACGAAATAATCTTTTACTGCTGCTAAATCGATGCCGGCAGAGAACGTCATTTTCCACCACAGAAGAATCCTAAGTAATGGAACGATGTTTTTTTCTTCTTGCTAATTATTCGTATTGCCATTTATGTTTAAAAAGATTGTATTTTTAAGTAAACGTTTTTAAGTAATCCGCGCGTTCTCTCCAGCCCTATTATCCAGTCGACGAGTCGCAGCTGTTTGCAGACGCGAATTAACACGCTGCTGAAAATCGGAAGGCATGAATTTAAATGGGCGTTACAGTCACGTTTATTGAAATAATCGAGGACCGTCCAAATTCGGGATAACGCTGATCGAGATGTTCTAACTTTGTACACGAGAAAAAAAAACAATGTATAAGCATATGTTCTATTCAGTCATTTCTATCTATAATTATTTTTCGTGTTAAATTCTTTTTCGTTTAATTATCTTTGAGGGAATAAGAATATGCGTCTGTGTTCAAAAAGGAAAAACGTTTTTTTATGTTATCGCGTTATGTAAAATTGTAGCGTAAGGTAAGTATAAATAAACATAATTGGTTTCCGCTCGCCCGTCGTCGCGTTCTCTCTGAAAAAGATTTAAGAATTTGACAATTTTAAATTGGAAATGAAAAATACGAAAAAAAAACAAGACGATTCTGAAATGAATAATCGTTCTTAATGAATAATCGTTCATCATTTTAATAATATGCAAAAAAGCAGAATCTCGGTTTTTCAGTGGGAGGAGGCGCAGACCACGCGTTCCGGGTTCCGGTATGTTTCGAGTTGAAAAGTGGACTGGACAAGCATTCAGGCATTTCAGTATTATTCCGCGGCGGAATCGAGCGCGCATGACCTCTATGAAGTTGGCCGGACAACTTCAACGTATCGAACTTTCATTAATTGGAATCGATTGGTGGTCGTTTGGTGGTCTTTGGTAGTCTAGTCCGATCGTCTGGTGGTTAGTCGTTTTCCTGTAAAATAAAAATGAAATTTCCAGTGTGAAGTTAGCCGGACAATTTTTATTTTTCAACCAATTTAACTTTTTTATAGCTCATTCGACGCGGAATCGTTTGGTGGTCACGAATATCACCGGTAAAACGTTTGGTGGTCAACCGTTTTCCCAGAAAATCAAAAAAACCGTATGCGCATAATACCATAGTCGGAACAATTGTATTTATCACCCAAATTGACTTTGATAGGCTTGATAGACTTTGATAATTGACCAATGGCGTGAGAGTACGGTTTTTTCTATTTCTTAGGAAAACGATTGACCACCAAACGTTTTAATGACAATATTCGTGACCACCAAACGATTCCGCGTCGATTGAGCCCTATCAAAGTCAATTTGGGTGCCAAATACAATTTTTCTGACTAATAGCACAGAGTCATACGACCAATGGCGTGAGCATACGGTTTTTCCTTTTTTCTGGAAAACGGTTGACCACCAAACGTTTTACTGATTATATTCGTGTCCACCAAACAATTTCGCGTTGATTGAGCCGTATGAAAGTCAATTTGATTGATAAATAATGTTTATCCACCAAATTACCGAGCTAACGTCACGGAGTCATGCGACCAATGGCGTGAGAGTACGGTTTTTTCTATTTCTTAGGAAAACGGTTGACCACCAAACGTTTTAATGACAATATTCGTGACCACCAAACGATTCCGCGTCGATTGAGCCCTATTAAAGTCAATTTGGGTGCCAAATACAATTTTTCTGACTAATAGCACAGAGCCATACGACCAATGGCGTGAGCATACGGTTTTTCCTTTTTTCTGGGAAAACGGTTGACCAACAAACGTTTTACTGATTATATTCGTGACCACCAAACGATTCCGCGTCGATTGAGCCGTATGAAAGTCAATTTGATTGATAAATAATGTTTATCCCTCAAATTACCGAGCTAACGTCACGAAGTCATACGACCAATGGCGTGAGAGTACGGTTTTATCTATTTCTTAGGAAAACGATTGATCACCAAACTTTTTAATGACGATATTCGTGACCACCAAACGATTCCGCGTCGATTGAGCCGTATGAAAGTCAATTTGATTGATAAATAATGTTTATCCATCAAATTACCGAGCTAACCTCACGGAGTCATACGACCAATGGCGTGAGAGTACGGTTTTTTCTATTTCTTAGGAAAACCATTGACCACCAAACGTTTTAATGACGATATTCGTGACCACCAAACGATT